CCCCTAATAATGGGAAACAGTCTGTCAGTTGTGTAATCACTACTAATACTATTTTAAGCAACTGTAAGTACTAGTGTTTTATGATCATCAGGCTAAACTTTAGCTTTAAGAATATCTTCTCAAATCCTGATATTTTTGTTAATATTAACTCTGTGCTCTTTTTTTCCCTCTAAAGGCAGCTTGAGACAGGTGACAAATAAGTAGTGAATGATTGACTAACAGTTGCAAATAATGTGTACTAAATTGTAGCTAATTGTGTAGTTTAATCTTCAGTATTTATTGGATGTTCATTTGGATGTATATATGATCTAGTTCTGCTCTTTAATTCAAAGGGACAACCTTGGTAGCATCAAGGTGTCTGCTGAGGGAAAACCATCTATGATCTCAGATCGATTACTTGATGTGTGTTTATAGCTGCAAATGTATTCACCTTGAGAAGACTGTGTTAGCCCTCTGGGATGTCTTGTTCCATTAGGATTTACTCACTTCATTACTAAGATTGGGGTGAGCTGGAATGGTCTTGTTCCAGCCTTCTCAAAGTATCTAAGCTGGTTAAAAGATCTGGGAGTTTGATGTTCTGCTTTTGGGAAGTAAAGGGGGGTGAAGAAAAATTTTGGGACTGAGAAGAAAAAAAAATTAGAAGTGCCGTTACAAAAATCAGCTCAGTTTAATTGTAGCTGGTGTAAAAAGAACAGAACTGGGTTCTGTCTACGATGGGCATTTTGCAAGAACTTAAAACCAGAAATTTTGAATTTTGTTCAGCCAGTATGCTAGGGATTTTAAAAAGAAACCCCCCACGCTTTTTCCATCTACTGTGATCTGGAAATTAAAGCAAATGAGGGACTGTCACCGTGTAACTGTGAGTTGAAATGATAATGCAGCAGCCCTGTGCTGAAATGTGTGTTCCTCACTTGGGCCCGATGAAGCGGCTCAGTTGTGTTGGGGCAGCCGTGGTTACCCCACTGCCTGGTGGCAAACGGTGTGTACAGGTTGTTCCAATCAGGAGAGCGAGAGCAGGATGTTTTGTTTTAATTTAACAGCCTCCCTATTTCAACTGTATTGTAGTCATTTAGAAACAGGTCGTTTAAAAGTCTCTTACCAACATGGAAATTGTGTCGCTGTGGCTTTAGAGAGCTGGATAACGATTATATAACACTGCAAGGGAAACAGCCTTATTGTTACGGATGAGAAAGCTTAGATAGGATATACTTAGATGACAGATCCTGCCCAGGAAAAGCTGTCTTAATGTGTGTGTTCCTGGAATCTTCTGTCGCTTTTTGCTCCCCCCCCTTTATTTTTTTTTTTGGTAAGCAAAAGTGTTAGGAAAAATTTAAGTAGGGGATGTAATGGAATGCCTGAACAGTGAGATCCCATGTGTATCCTTCTAATACGCTGTGGTTTTCCTGAATGATTTGATTGGGTTTGAAATTGTTCCCGTGGCAGGAGCACAGGGCTTTACTCCCTTTGTGTTTGCTGTGTTTATTAGTGGGCTGAATTCTTTCGCCGCGTTCTGTGACAGAAGCGTTTGTGTTGACAAAGCTCCCAGTCTGTCCTGGTGCTGATACAGAGGCTCTCCAGAAGTGATGATGCCATGAATTGTGATTGTATCTGGGCTGCTGTAAACATGCAGCCTTTGTCCCGGCTCCTGCGAGGTGTGATGTCAGTGTGGCACAGCCCCGGCCTTGCTGTTCCCGGCTGTCCCTGGGCACTGTCTGAGCTCCACAGCCTTTGCCTCTTGGGATGAGATTGTGCTTTTACTCTTAGAGAGCAAGAAAATGTCGTGGTACAGCAGTTACCTAAAAGATCTGGAACACTTAATATGGGTGATAGATTATGTATACAAAATCCCTGTCTGTCAGCTGTATAGTAAAAGGCCCAAAATAACGGGGCTTTTATCCACTGAGAATTAAAATAACTGCTGTTTTAGGCTTCCTCTCATGAAGCATTGTCTTTGTATCTGGGAAGCCTGCTTCTTACATGACATAACAGCTCAAATCCAATCTCTATAGGATGCAGATACAAAAGAAAAAGCTGCCTTAATTCTCTCAGCAGAATTAGCTGATGTGAAGTGCAGTTGTGTGACCTCACAAACCACAAGCGTGGTTTTAAGTTGCATCTGTGGTCATTACAAACTCCTGAGCCTGTTTGTATCTTAAGTTAAGAATGTTTGAAGTTTTGTGTGTGAATTCTATATTTCAAAATACAGTGACTCATATCCACGTGGAAATCAGCTGTTCCAAAAATATGGATTGCATACAGATCTAGAGAAATTTAATGCCATTTCTGTTTTTAAGTTAATATATTTGTTGGTAAGTCTGAAGAGTTAGAAAGTGTTGCAACAAAATGGTAGTTTGTTTGAACTTGTATTTTAATATTAAGCACCTGTTGTGAAAAAATTGGAACGTGCAATTAAATATCCATAGTCCAAAAATCTGAAGTTTGAAATCTTTCCTCATACAGCTGAGTAAATAAGCTCTCCGTGTTAAAGAAAAGCCTTTCTGAGAAGCACATTGTTCCTATTCTTGTTTGAAAAGCTAAAGCAGACTAAAAATTTGAATAGCTAATAATTTGTAGGGCACAGTCATTCATATGTGCTATAGGCTAATAATCCAGGCAGTATCAAATTGTGTTTTCTCACATACAGGAGGACTTGTTTTCAGTGCAGGAAATGGAATGAGAGCAGAACATGAGTAAGGGCTGTCATCCAGTGCAGAAGGCAGCAGCACATTCAATTTGCTCCTGTAATGTGTTTAAACACACTCTGGGAGTGCTTGATCATCAGGTCTGCACTGTCAGTCCTGGTCCTGCCTGATCCCAGATGTGCTGCAAGGATCTGGGAGATTTTTCTCCAGGCCCCCAGCCTGGGATGCTGCTGGTTGCAATAACAAATGTCCAGCTGTGGGTTTGTTCATGAAATCCTTCAGATGGAGAAAGGAGAACTAAGGTTGTCAGAAAAGAAGAATATAGGCAGTGAAGAGGTGAGCTCCATTCTGTAAGCAGTCTTGAGATTCCAGATATGGTTTAGAAGAGAGGTGGCAGATGTTTGTCTTCCATACATCATTGCAATTAAGAGACTTGCTTAGACCTGGACTAACATAATTTAAAAAATGCTTGATTAAAAAAAAAAGGCCAAAAATATCTTTAGGAGAATGTGCATACACAGTCCAAATGTTGACTGTATCTGGAGAATATGTTTATTCTAATGAGTCTGAGGACTTTAAGAAACAGGTGGCTTGGTGAATCTTGGGAAGCATTTTGCTTGTTCTTTGTATTTCCTGACGGGAATGTTGGTGTAATCTAAAGTTGCGGTAGTTGTGTTTACTCTGCTGCCTTTCTCTCAACTGAATGAGCTAAATGAGAGAAGTTCAGGTCTCAAACATACCTGGTTCAAGCAGGTCTTCAGGCAGTGGGGCCACAGCTGGCAGAGTTTCCTTTATGATTTTCCTCACTGTCCATCAGGATCAGTGTGCAGAGAAACGCTTGAGGTGAGGATATTGCACCACTGCAGAAGACTTTATAAGTAGGTTGCATGTTATTAAAAACGAGTGAGATGTTATCAGTACAAAGCCTGGAATATCTTTAATGAAGTTCAGTACCTAAAAATAATGGTTTGGAAACGCTGTGCAGTGGGGAGTTCAGTCTTGTTTCTCCCACAGAGAGTGTGGTTAGTCTTTCAAGAGTGTGTTGGGTGAAACCAAGGAGAAAATACACTTTTCCCTAAGTGCTGTGTTGTGTAAAGGAGAAAAGTGATGAAACCACATACATGTGCCCATCTGTGAGCCTGCCCAGAAATCTCAGTGAGCTGAGCACTGGGCTTTCTTGATAGACATGTGAGATGTTAGGCCTTGGTTAATCAAGAGGAGATATTCTGAGGTCTCTGTGTTTGTGTATAGTGTGCTTTGAAGTGGAGATGAAAGATGTGAACAATTTGTCTTTTCATAAAGATACTGGGAATATCATGTGTCCTTTCAAGGTGGTTTTAGCTGTGATTTAGGAAAAAAAAAATAAACTCAAGGGGATTGAGCCTGTTAAAAAATAGGTTTATGCAGAGCCTTCGGTTTACAGGTGGGAATTTTAGACCTGTGTAGCTGGAACTTTACTGGAGTGTGGTGCCAGGTGGGAATTGTTGTGATAGTCTGTTTGGCCAAAACTGATGTCCTTTAGTCACGTGGGTTCTCCTGTGGGGTTCAGCACCTCACCTAGAAGGTCAGTAAGGAAATAGGCCTTATATTGTTAAAAGCCAGCTCTAATATAGTTGTATTTTTCTCCAGTTTTCAGACCTTGACTCTAAGAGTGGAAGAATGAAGCATGATTTGTTGTCTCTGGAATGAGAAGGATGGAATTTTTCCTTTTCAGCTGCAGTGAGGGAAATGAATTCCAAAATAATGAGGGAATTTTCAGACCTGGGGATATGAAGATAATATCTGGGTGATAAAACTGAGGTTCAGCAATTTGTCTTTAGCTACTAAAAATATAATTGAATGGGTGAGAAACAGAAAATGCCTTAAATAACTCACACAAAACAAATAAGATCCAGGCACATCAGTGATATGAAGGGACACTTTCACAACTTTTATTTGGAAGAAGCTGTGTTTTTATGAAAAATCAGCATCAATACAGTTTTATTTTTTGACATGGGCTACATATGATTCCGTTTCTTGGTAGTTATCACCTGTACTGCATTTTTAAATTTCTCCCCCCTCTTCCACCTGCCCCCAAGGTTTTAAACTTCTCAGCAATGTTTCTTATGTATATCCATCATCTGAGCAACTTTAAAATAAGATGAAATACTAGAAGAACCAGTTGGCTGGATTTCTTTCAACTTGTTTTGCATTGCCTAAAAAAAGCGGTGTTAAAAGCTTCTATGTTACCTGGCACAAAATAAGATAAAAGGTGACGTTAATACTGTGTTGTGAAATTTTGGGGGTGAATGACTTTTAAAAGCTTTGGTTCTTTTTTGTTTATTTATGCGTTGGGGTTTGTGTTTGTTTTTTTAACAGGAGTCTTACCCCTCTTCATCACCAATATGGTTTGTAGAATCAGATGACCCAAACCTGACTTCAGTCTTAGAGCGTTTAGAAGATATTAAGAAGAGCAATACTCTGGTGAGCAAAGTGGTTTTTGGTTCTTTTGGGCATTTACTTGGGTTTGGGTGTTTATTTGGCTTTGTAATACTAACAAGCAGTTCGGTTTGCTCAGTTTTGGGGTCACTTGGGAGGTTTTGTAAAAACAACTTTCTCTTCCAAAAGGAGCCACAAGTGATCCAAAAGATTTGAAGCAAGTAGGAAAAGATTACTTAAATGCTTACTCTGTAAGAGAAGTTGAGTTACAGCCCCAGTAATTACAGTGTGAATCTCTCTGAAAATAATTAAACAGTGAAGTGGATGAAAAGGTTAAAACTACTGTAAAAACCAGTTCTTGTAGAATTTTCTTTGCACAGAGATTAATTACAGAGGCAAAAGCTTTGTGTTCTTGAGAATATATGTTCTGCAAAATGTGGGTATAATATAAAGAATTCCTGGTTTCAGTAAAGGAGACTTGACCTGAGAGCTTGTGGTTCATCTGAATGTTCCTTAGGTACTGATACATTTAAACAGGGTTGTGACTTTGGGCAGTTGCTACTTAAAGAAAATCTCTGTACAGATTCTAATGGTTGTTTTGTACTGCAGAAAACTCTCAAGCATTATATCTTACTTGAGTACCCTTTTCATGTAGTGATAGGAGCTCTTTGTCTGTGTGTGTGTATATATAAAAATTAACTTCCCATTCAAGTGTCCTTGAATAGTGCTTGGAGATAAATGTCAGTACAAATGCAGTTTGTTCCACAAGGAGTAGTATTGCAGCATACAGAAAATTCAGTGACTGAGTGTTGTTTTTCCACTCCAAATTCAGCTTTATGGATATTAAATAGCCTTTAAAGGTGATCTTTATTAATAGATTATTTTAACATGTTATGTTTTTATTTATGCATACAAAACAAATCAGTCTGCAAAATACTGCTTATTGCATGGATTGTGTGCCTGGTTTGGAAAACCAGGATTCTTGCCTGGTTTGGAAAAATTGGGAATGTTCTTACGAAGTCTGTTACTTGTCATGTTTACTGGGATAATGGTAATCTAGCATACCCAACCTTGAACAAGAATGTACAAGTGCCTTTTTCTAAAGAATATTTAGAATGCATTTGACTTCTAGCAGAAATAATTAGGACACTAGTAAGAGTGAGAGTCTTCGAGGGCCTTGCCATAATTAAAAACAGTTGCAGAGGAATATTAGTGATTTAATGCATTATGTCAGATGTGATTGCAGGAGACACAGGTCTCAGTTGTGTATTTTCTACTTCAACCTAAACTTTAGACTAAACCACATTCAGAAGAATGGGATAGATCTCTTAATCTTTGACTTTTGCCCAGCATGACATAGAACAGGATAGTAGCAGAAAATCTGGCCAAATGATCCTTTTTCTGAAATAGCCTTCCCAGCAGACTGTGCAGGTGGAAGCTGGTGTGGCTGATGGCTTCAGCCTGAGGGGTCTGAGCAGGATGTTTCCTCTGTGTAACTGCCTGCACTGGGCTGGAAAGCTTTGCTGTAAACATGCATGGGGCTTGCTGTGCTGAATTGCATATGCACAGACACTGCTTAGGTACCTGGTAAGAAAACAGCTTCTGATATCAAGATTGTACTTGCCCATGTAAAAGCTGCTGGGTTGATGTAATAGGCACCTGTGGATGGCCCATTGGTTTCTCAGGAATCCACCCTGCATCTTGTTATGCCAAGATGAAGACAGATGGGAGTGGTTGAAGAGATAAAAACACCACAAAATCTGGCTTTTTTTTTTTTTTTTACTCCAAAGGTTTGGCTTTGTGGGGTTTGAGTTTGTTTTTTCTCCATGCAACCTCCTCCCCATCAGTGGCATTGGAGCAGCTCACACAGTTTTTGGAGTAGGGTAGGAAGGGATTGGGAACTACCTGTAGAAATCCAAAGGCTTCTAATTTATCACAGTCTCCTAAAAATTCACTTGGTTTAATTTAGATTTCTAGCTTGTTTCAAACCAGTTTTCATTGAACTTATTGCAAGTAAAGGATCATGAGTGCCATGTTATTCTAAACTCAGAGTTATTGGAGCAATCAAATTTTGAATGGGAAATTGCCCTGGACTCTTGCAGGAGCTTAACTGGACACAGCAACCGTGTGCTGAAAGCACTGCTGGCACATACCCTGCTTTAGCTTTTTTTAGTATTACTCTGCCCTTTCTACCTGCTTGTGACAGGTAATCTTTGGGAAACTGAGTTTATGCTCTTCAGGCATAAATGTTTGACAGGGGAAAGCCAGCCTTGTCATTTGACATGGTAAAAGGAAAACTGGTTTCCGATGTTGAAAGCCTGGACGTGTTTCCTGGAAAATCTTCTGTGGGTCCAAAACTGCATCGTTACCTTGTATGAGCATGGTGCATTTGCTAGGAAAATTTGTTGAAAGGTTGCTAAGAATGTGATCAGCATAGATATCATTAGGTTTGGACACTTCAGCTGCTTGACTGTCAATGTTGAACAAGTTCCAGTCAGCAGATGAAGGGGCTACACAGTTCTTTCAACCCTTAGTGTCTCCTGAACTGCTTTTCAGATCCTGAAAATCCAGCATCACATTAGACTTGATGGGTATGAAACTGCTATCTGCCTTCTAGTGGTTGTGCTATGCAAAAGAGAAATCCTACTGTCTTGTTAAGTTTAATTTGGTGGAAGCTATACGATGCAAGTCTGAAGCCTCAAACCTTCATGACATACTAAGTATAACTATGTGCTATTTGGAGGTTTGCTTTTTAAAGAGAATAGGGAAATGAACTTAAATTCAGATAGCTTAAATTCTCTCTAGACCTTAAACTTGCATGGAAGATGTCAAAAGTAGAGAATTCCTGGTATAAGTTTGTTTACAGCTTGGATAAGCTGAAGGATGCTGCTGTGGTGTTAATAATGCAGAGTGAGTCCCACGTGGAGACATTTCAGGGAAGAACGCTGTCTCTTGCAAACTCCCAGTGCAGCAGCAGCAGATCATGTGTTGGGAGTCAGAGACAAAATGCAGGAATAAGCTTTGCTTTACTCCCTGGGACTGGCCAAGGCTGCAGAGTGTGTGTGAGGGCAGGTGGTGTCACAGCTTGCCTGAGAGCTGAGTGGGGGTCACACTCCAAGTGACAGTTATTGCTTCCCTGTTTCCACTGGGATCCTCCTTCAGCAGTTTCTGTGGTAGGCTAAGACTGATGGATTCCTTTCTTTTTGCACAGATACAGTGTGTGTATATGTGTAGACAGACACACGTGGAAGAATGAAGTCTTTGTAACTTCCACTGTACTTCTGTTTCTCGATAATCCAAACCCAAGGTGTTCCACAGTGAACCCAGCAGGGTATTAATGTCATCAAAGGTATCCTAAAATTGTTAATGCTTTTGTACTGCATTAGAAAGATCTCTTCATGTATAAAAAAGCCTCCTAATGTGGCCTCAGTTTCAGGAAAAGATTGTTCTAAATTGTTCTCAGATGTGTAGGTTGTTAACATAGGAAGCAGAGAATTCCAAGAGGTGTTTTTGTGTTCTAAATCAGCATTATGGTATCCACAAAAACTACCAACTTCTCAGAGCTCCTGAACCATTAAAAATTACAGGGATGTGTATTATAATTCTTATATTTTTGTTACTTTTATATTAATTATAATCAATGTAATAAGTTTATAAATGTGTCACTGCATTTGGTCACTTGAGCATTTTCCCTCTGCAGGCTCCTTACATGGCTCCTTTAATCCCCTGAGGGCTGTGCATTCTAGATGTGCATTCTATGTTTAGTTTGTGCTTTAGGCAGTTTGTATTCCAGGGAAACACTTGGTGTCCTGGTAGCCCCTTTTCTTCAGTAACCTCAGTGTGTATGTTAAGCATTCACTTTACATTAGTCAAGCCTGTGAAGTTACCCTGGAAATACATTTAAATTATTGATATGTGACAGAAATCTGTTCCTTTTGATACAATCTGTTCATGCACATACCAACACATACAAATCATGCCAGGCCCTGCTCAGGGCATGGGGCTGGGTCAGATGTCTTCCAGATGTGCCTTTCAGCCCAAATTATCCTATGATTTTTCATACATAGGAGCAAAGTATAAGGGATAAGTGATGGTGATCCATGGCGGAAAGATTAAGGGTATGAAATTAATTCCTGTGGAGGAAAAAATGTAGCAATAAGTGGAAGAGTTGTAAAGAGAGGATCAGCTTCTCTCTCTGCCACCACCTTTGCAAACTGTAGACACTGATGTCAAATACAGCAGCTGGTCTCTACAAATGAAGTGCAGTGTGACAGTTGCATTCATGTAACCCTGAAGTGTGGGGTGCTGCCCAGGCAGGGCATCCCTGCTCTCAGCTGCATGTCTCTGCCTCCCCTTTATGGTGTCACTGGTGCTCAGACACTGAAGCTCATCAGGAATTGGTCCCCTCTCAGCTGCCTCAGGGCTGTGTGTTCTCTGGGGCCAGTGGAAGGGAGGAGGTGAAAACCTGCTGCTCCTCCAGGCACAGGCTCTGTGATGTGGCCCAGGTTGGGCCAGGGGGTTGTTGCTTGGAGGGTGCTGGTGTCCCTTGCTTGTGGTGCTGCCTTGGAAGGGATTGTGAGAAGCTTCCAGTGTGTTGGGGCCTGGCTGCAAAAATTCCTTCTTAACTTTGGTTCAGGTGACAGGACTTTTCATGAGCAGGATGAGGAGTGGAGGAACCAGGGTAGGAAGCAGTTCTTAAGCTCTTTCCAGCCTTTACTCTCTCTTCCAGTTAAGACACATCTAATGTTGTCTTCATCTGCTTGTCCAAGGTCAGTTCTAATGGACCAGCCCACTGCTGATGGTGCTGCTCTTCCCCCACCACTTATATTTTTTTGTGTGCTTCACAGCAGATGTAAACAAATTAATGGCTTGCCTGGTTTTACATAGCTCTGTGAGAAAAATTAGAGCTCCTCAAATTGTATGGTTTATGCTCCAGCTCTCCATGAGGCAGTGTTTGTGCAGAGAAAAAGTTTCTCAACAAAATGTGTAGCAGTGCAACTTGCAGCATTTTGCACATATTGAGAATAGTAGTTAGTTCTATCTGATTCTGTCTGGCAACTAGCTTTTTGATGGATTAACCTGATTTCTGCCTGCTAAAAGATTTCCTTGATGTTTCAAACACCGGGGAAGTTTCAAACAAGTGTTGAGTCTTAAGGTTGATGAGAAACGTGATTGTTACAGGAAGCTTTTGGCAACATAAACTATTGCATCTCATGTGTTTACTCATAAGAAGTGTGGTGCTGATACCCCAGTCCTTCTGGTGTTACCTGCTTTATTTTTGAGTGAAGGAAGACTGTCATGTATGATGCAGAAATAGCAAATGTGGTGTGAGAGGAGGGAGTGCCATAGTTGTTGTAGTGCAGGCTGGTGTCTGAGTTCATGGCCTCAGATGGATAAATAACATTCCTGTTACACAGAATGTGGAATTCTGCTGCAGAAGGGAAAAGCACCAAAGCTTTCAGGTAGCATAAAGGCAACATTTGCTTATCACTGCTAGTGATTTGGGCGTGGAAATCAGTTTTTAACTCTGGAGATACTGAATTTTCACTTGCGGTAGGGTAAGGTAAGAGCATCTAAACCATCCAATAGCTTCAGACATGCAGAATATTTTGGAGTGAATAGATTAATTTTTTTACCTTAATTTATTGTATATTTTGAGAAATACAGTATACAAACCAAATATTGTTGTAGAGTTATAATTCTTTCCGAAGTCTGTGCTGTACCTTGGGTGAGGCTGCATTTCCTGAGTCTCCCTCCTTTATGGAGAAGTGCTTCAGGGGGAGGGGGTTGCCACTCAGGTGTTACTACCAGGAGTACTGAGGGATGTGTGTGCAGACTTGGTTGTCTTACACACTGCCCTTGACAAGTGGCAAGACAAACTCCCTTTGGTGTCTGGAAGAAAAGTCCATAAATGGATGCAAAAAACGAGGTGTTGACCCTTTTACAGATGCATTCTGCAGTCCTTTCTTTGTTTTCCTGACATAGCTGTGCAAAGACCTTGAAAAGTTAGGAAATGCAGCAGTACAGTCTTTCATGTCTTGGCCTTAACTAGGAATCTGAGACTGCCTAGAGAAATTTAACAGCTATGGAAATCAGCTTAATTAATGTGGTGAGCAAACTTAATGTTTGCCTGTTTCTGCAGAACTAAATTATTTTTCTGGCTTGCATAACAGTGAGTGTAAGGTGTTCTGTGTTTTGCAGTTAACAGAATGTCAGTGTAATGCTGCAAGGTGGAAACAGAAATCAGAGACAGTAAAAGATTGTGCCTCCCCCTGACCCAAGATGTGGCAGGCAGACTGCTCAGAGCTTGCCTGCTTCTGTGCCTTGTACTGTGTTTGTCTTGCTCCAGTGCCTCACTGGTGTGCCCTGTAAAAGAATTCAGGATATGGAAAATCAGACTCAGACTGTTCCTCCTTGGGTTTTTTTTTTAAGACATGGGGTTTTTTTAAGCTGGGAAATGGGAATGGACCGTCTTGTCTTATGGAACATTACCAGTTGCTTATTCCATAGTGATTTGTGGCTCAGACACCTGTGTTTGGATTGGATGATGCTGTCAGGGCACATTATTCTGGTTTGCCATGTTTCCATGGTGAGGACTTGGTTACAATGATTACAGAGGAAAAGAGGGGTCTTTACATTGAATTCCAGCCTTAGAAGATTTAAATGCTGTACAGTGACTTTAGGTTCACTACCAATGTGTGAAGAAAACTCAAAATCCTGCTCTGTGCTTTGGTTATAACCACTTCCATGTTTTTGTTTTTTATAGCTTCTTCAACAGCTGAAGCGATTAATATGTGACCTCTGCAGATTATATAATCTTCCTCAGCATCCAGATGTTGAAATGTTAGATCAGCCACTGCCAGCTGGACAGGTAAACTAAAAAAGCTGTGGACACCTCCTTATGGCAACGAAGGAGTTGTTTTTCCAACTCCAAGAAAGAAGATGGTGGGAATGATTAAACCTTGTGTAAGCCAGAGCTGAGATATGAAGCACTGTTGCTTTATGATGTCCTCAGTCTGAATTTTGTTTGCAAAATCCATTTAAGAATGGTGTGATAATATTACACAATTTCCTGTGGAGTTTCTGTATCAGTGAAAGGTGTGTAAGTGATACCACTGCTGTCAAGTTTATATTCCCTCCTAAACACTGTTCAAGCCAATGGCTGTGCACTCCTAGTGCTTCCTAAATTTACTTTTTCTGAAATGCTTGCTCTTTGTTGAAGTGTATATGTTTTACAGTGTGCACTTGGATGAAGTACTGTTGATGTTTTCCTTCCTCTTCGATCCCTTGCAGAGACATGGGATTCAAGACCATATGCTACTTTGGGTAGGGAGTATCTGAGGTGCCTTGTTTACTTCTTGTGCACTTGACATATTGAGTTGTGAAGGGCTGTGAGATGTTCTTGTTAACCAAAATGTTTTGTATTGTGCTGAAAACAGAACCGGTAACTGACAGTAACTGTTCTTTTTTGTATTTTTAATAAGACTATGATATCTTCTTTTGTTTGTATGTGTTAAGATGACATGATTTCTAAAAGCTCCTGTAGTGTAACAGATGGTTTTCCTGTGGTGACAGTACTATAGGAATGACAAATAACTTGCTTAATTTTGGTCACGTGCCAAATTGTAATCCTACAGGTCTCTGCTTTGAACACCCACACAGCAGTGCAAGTGCAAGGCAGTGGGCCTGTGATCTTAGGAAGTAGCTTTGTGAAGAGTCTTGCATGTGCTCTGAAGCTCAAAAACAAACTCATGTCACACAGTTTGCAAGTTAAATAAGAGTGGCCTTATTAAGTCTGACTGAAGATCCATCTAGTCCCTTGCATTGTCTAGGGCAGTGATTCTTCCCCTGGACTCAGCACTGGTGAGGCCACCCCTGGAGTGCTGTGTCCAGTTCTGGGCCCTCAGTTCAGGA